TCATGCGCCTCCACAGATCCCTGGTTGCCTGGAACAGCTCTCTTGATGATATGCCATCGTTTCAATCCATCCAGCGTCATCTCTCTTGGTCTGCTTCTACCCCTTTTCCCACTGATCTTTCTAGTTGTCACAATGATCTCCAATGTCTCCTTTTTTTTTTCATTTTGTGGCAAAATAACAGTGTTTGTCTCTTTCTTATTGGATTGACACAGTGTGTTGACATAGACATAACTGACATAAAATGCAATCATTGTATCAGTTCTGGATATCACAAGAATAAAAGACTATCGTTACAGAATTCCGTTGCTGTCAACACTGAAGTCTGCGCACTTGTCAGTGGCGTGTCGTGATGATCCACACAAACGGGCCAATTATTCGCAGACAAAAGAGTGCACCCATAGCTCGCTTTGCAGACAGAACAGTCCCAGACGCCAGCGGTGCCTTCGCTCAGACTACCAGCATCGTGTGGCTGGAATCGCTGGACTATTCCCCTGTGTTTGTGCTGAGTGATTCTATGAGCATGACCTAGCGTTTCGAGGCAGGCTCCATTTGCACACAGGTCATTGTGAAACACTCCTGGGGGAGCAGTTACTTAAAGAAAATACCGGGATTGTTGACAATGAAAGATCTGAGAGAGTGGCAGGTTCTGCAGACATGTGGATCGCGCCGACATTGTTCATAATGGCCATTGAGCTCAAGGAAAAACCGAGGGTTTTGGGAGCAATGTATCCACATCACTGCTAAGAATACGAGAACTGGGAGTAAAGGTCGAAACAGCCAAGCATGAGAGGCACATCGGATGTACAAGAGTCTAGTTAATCAGCAAAGAATTGACGCTATTGACCGCACGACGTGCCCGGCTCGCTAGCACAGTTGCCTAAACCTAACTGCGCGGCGACCGGGTGACAAACTCCTTACGGTCTGGTTTCACCCCCGCTGGTAGGCAGCAAAGCCACAAAATTTCAAGATTTACGTTATCTATAATGGAATCATGACCGAATGGTTGCGATGTCTACAGTACCAAGCCAAGGGTTTACAACTCATAGTTTCTGGGTACTTTGGATATTTTTAAAATAAAAAATTGTAATTAAAAAAAAAAAAAAACTATGACGCCAATGAATATGTTAAACGAGGAATCTGAACACCTATGGTTATGCTGTGAAGATAATCCAACTAATCCAACTCATAACTAAAAATAAAATCCACGTCTGAGTTATATAGCTATCACATTAATGGTCTTTAAAAAAAAAATGTAATTTCCTGTTTGTGTAAAAAGATTTCTTCAGCCATTTCAGTAATAAAAATCAAAACTGAAATCGATGAATGTTTTTAGCAGCGCTTCGTCTATCAGAATAAACGCTCCAGTGCCATTGTGTGATTAAAATGTATCGCGTGTGCAACTGCTGATCTGTTGCTGACTTCTGCTACCATCCACGATGAACTGCATTTCTAATGTACGGACTGTTTGTGTTGGCACTTCGGATGGCTGCCGTATGCTTTTAATGCATGTGTATGCTAGATATGCTGAGACAGCAGTCTGTCAATCTTTCCACAAGGGGCTGTGGTCAACATTCTGTGTGTTTTTCGTTGGCACAGGAGCGGGGCAGATAGGGCAGGACCCGTTTGCTATGAAGCTGAAACTAAGATTACCAGATTACAAGAAGATTACCAGAAACGCTCCAGTAACGCGTATTACATCTGTAAACCTCTAAGTAGCAGCATATGTCACGTTAACTAAAAACTAATTTTGTGACACTGGATTTAATAATAGACTGCAATCTACACTGTTTCTTTTTTTGGTTGATTATCTATTAGATGGGCCACGAAATAATTTTTGGTAGGCGGGGTTGTAAAAGGGTTGAGCAACACTGAACTAACACACGTATACCATCACTGAGTGATACTATAGTAAATTGTAGTAAACTGAACGAACGAACAAACGAACGAACAAACTTTATTATCAAAGGGTCAAGAATTGGGTACGCAGACCCGTCTAACATTCTGTCCCTCCCACTCCGCGCCTTGCATTCAGTCATTCAGTTGAGTTGAGTCAAGAAATGATATAACATCACTTGAGGCATTCCCATACACGGTCCGTCCACATCCTTAACAGCCCGCGCAGAGTTCCAATACTAATGGTATTCATTCGTACCTAATTTCATAGTTAATAATAATAATAATATTAGTGTAAAAAATGTTTGACTACATCTAAAGCCTAATTTCAAAAATTAGAATATACTATAATTACACTTACATTACTAAACGCTTTAAAAATTATAATAATAAGCCTATTCCAATGATATAAGCAGCAGCAAGCAGCGCGCAGCATCAGCAGCAGCAGCAGCAGCAGCAGCAGCTCAGCAGCAGCAGCAGCAGGCAAGCAGTAGCAGTAGCAGTAGTAGTAGTAGTAGCAGTAGTAGTAGTAGTAGTCCGTAGTAGTAGTCGTAGTAGTAGTCGTCGGATAGAGCGGGAGATACGTAGTAGTAGTCGTAGTTAGTAGTCAGTAGTTAGTAGTAGTAGTACGTAGTAAGGACGTAGTTAGGTAGTAGTAGGGTAGTGTAGTTAGTAGTAGTTTAAGTAGATAGTCGTCCTAAGTAGTATAGTCGTTAAGTGTAGTAGTAGGTAGCTAGCCCGCAGCCGCAGCAACAGCAGCAAAGGCAGGAGTAGTAGTAGAGGAGTAGTATAGTCGTAGTAGTATTAGTAGTAGTTAGTAGCAGTAGCAGTAGTCAGTAGTAGTAGTAGAGTAGTAGTTAGTAGTTCGTTAGTAGTAGCAGTAGTAGTAGTAGCAGTAGTAGTAGTAGTAGCCAGTAGTAGTAGCATAGTAGCAGTAGTAGTAGTAGTAGCAGTAGCAGTTATAGTAGTAGCAGTAGTAGTAGTAGTAGTAGTAGTAGTAGTAGTAGTAGCAGTAGTCGTAGTAGTCGTAGTAGTAGAGTCAGTAGTCGTAGTAGTAGTAGTAGTAGTAGAGTAGTGTAGTAGTAGTAGTAGTAGAGTAGTAGTAGTAGTAGTAGTAGTAGTCGTAGTAGTAGTAGTAGTAGTAGTAGTAGTTGTAGTTAGTAGTAGTAGTAGTAGTAGTAGTAGCAGTAGTAGTAGTAGCAGTAGTAGTAGTAGTAGTAGTAGTAGTAGTAGAGTAGTATAGTAGTAGTCGTAGTAGTAGTAGTAGTAGGTATTAGTAGTAGTAGTAGTCCGTAGTAGTTAGTAGTAGTAAGTAGTAGTCCGTAGCCAGTAGTAGTCAGTAGTAGTATAGTAGTAGTAGTAGTAGTGTAGTACCACCAGTAGATAGTCGTAGTAGTAGTAGTCGTAGTAAGTAGTAGTATAGTAGTCGCAGTAGCAGTAGTAGTAGTAGTAGTAGTAGTAGTAGTAGTAGTAGTCGTAGTAGTAGTCGTAGGTCGTAGTAGCTCGTAGCAGTATAGTAGTAGCAGTTAGTAGTAGTAGTAGTAGTAGTAGTAGTAGTAGTAGTAGTAGTAGGAGTAGTTAGTAGTAGTAGTAGTAGTAGTCGTACTAGTAGTAGTAGTAGTAGTAGTAGTAGTAGTAGTAGTTGTAGTAGTAGTAGTAGTAGTAGTAGTAGTAGCAGTAGTAGTAGTAGTAGGTAGTAGTAGTAGTAGTAGTAGTCAGTAGTTAGTAGTAGTAGTAGTAGTCGTCGTAGTAGTAGTAGTAGCAGTAGTAGTAGTAGTCGTAGCAGTAGTAGTCGTAGTCGTAGTAGTCGTCAGTAGTAGTACCACTAGTAGTCGTCTTGGTAGTAGTAGTAGTAGTAGTAGTAGTAGTAGTAGTAGCTTTTTACCACACCAGGACATCACACAAGCGATAAACACCCGTTGACACAATGTGCTACCATGTTTGAACAACGGATGAATATCATGGCACACGGGTAGTAACCCATAAGTGACCACGGGATCTGGCCGACGTGTCACGCTCAGCGAAGGCGAACATACGTTCAGACTGATATTGGTACCATATGAAGTGGAACTCTTCGCTGGCTGCTAAAGAGGGGGATGGAGCGCTTACGGAAATGTCCCGAGTGTTGGCATATCGATTCTCGAAACTCAGCTGATTGATACTGAACAGACCTAAGTGATCCAATACCTGTATTTTTAACATTTATCATCTCAATAGGACCTTTCGGTCTCCCATAAGAATAATTTATTCTGAGCGATTGTTTTTAATGATTCAGCTACAGTAAACATCTGATTTATCCACTGATCTCTGAGAACTCTACAAACATTAATTATCTCGCACCTGCTTAAAGTATAGGGAATTAAATGGTATGATAGAATCACTAATGTAGAGCCTTAAGAGAACTAATGTTCTAGTGGACAAAGAGGTGAAGAAAAGACGCTGTTATTGGATAGGACTCACGCTTCCAAAGCGTGAGAACAATATAATTGGAACGTATTTGCACTGGAACCTACAGGGGCACAGAAATAAACGAATACCCAAAAACGTAGGGAGTAGGGAGTTAGAAAGTGATGTTAAGAAGATGGGGAGGACATGGAAGAGCTGCATATATTAGCGAAGGATAGAATGACTTAGCCTGAGTTGGTTGAAGGCTGATGCCAAATTGAAAACAAAATGAAAGGAAGAATAGGAGGAGGAGGAAAAAGAAGAAGAAGAGGAGGATAAGGAGGAGGAGCAGGAGAAAAAAAAGAAGAAGAAGGAGAAGTAGTAGAAGAAGAAGAGGAAGAAGAAGAAGAAGAAGAAGAAGAAGAAGAAGAAGAAGAAGAAGAAGAAGAAGAAGAAGAAGAAGAAGAAGAAAGAAGAAGAAGAAGAAGAAGAAGAAGAAGAAGACGAAGAAGAAGAAATCAGCTTTCTAGTAGCAAAACAGAATACATAATACATCAATTAACATTGCTTATCGGTGGTCAAAGGCTGTAAATATACCCGTCACACTTGTGTACCAAGAAGACCCTTTACTCTGTAGTGTTTAAATAAGTTCATTAAAAAGCATACAGTGAACAAACAAAAACAGCAGAAGAACCCACCCAGACATGAAGTAATATGGCAAATTATTGCCTCCCACAAATAAATCCTGTCAACTGGTTGGAGATCTGCCAGTTGTGCTTCGGGTGCGAGTTGTCATTTTGTGTTACGATGGTGATATCCAATGTCTGCATGTAATAAACGTGATCTCTCAAATCTTCAAAAAGCTGATATTGTACGCCAGCAAAAAATTGCCTCAGCATGTCTCCATAGAGAAAAAATGGTCGGTTTCCAAATGGGCAAATTGTAAGAGGTCCCTGGGGATCAATGTTTGATGACATAATTAAAAATACAGGTTAGACAATTATAAATTCAAGGCTTCAAATGTTCTTCCTCTACCCTGAGATCTAGGAAGGCGCGCATGTGAACCCAGGTATCACTAATGAGGAGAGTTAAGGGAAAAAAAAGGGGGGGGGGGGGGTGGCAGGAAATATTTCACACCGGATACCGCCTACCCTTGCTATGACATTACCTTTTCCCTTTTTTCCTTTCTTCAGCTTTCCTTCCGTCACGATATAATCCAGATGTCTCCTTCTCCTTACAGAACCAAAGAATGAGAATTGTCACATTCTGATGGGCTGCATGACCACAATTTCTTCTTCTTTTTCTTCTTCTTCTTCTTCTTCTTCTTCTTCTTCTTCTTCTTCTTCTTCTTCTTCTTCTTCTTCTTTTTCTTCTTCTTCTTCTTCTTCTTCTTCTTCTTCTTCTTCTTTTCTTCTTCTTCTTCTTCTTCTTCTTCTTCTCTTCTTCTGTCTTCTTTCTTCTTCTTCTTCTTCTTCTCTTCTTCTTCTTCTCTTCTTCTTCTTCTTCTTCTTCTTCTTCTTCTTCTTCTTCTTCTCCTCCTCCTCCTCCTCCTGTCACCTCCTCCTCGTCTAACTCCTACTCCTTTCTGTCTGTTTTTCTGTCCTGGTCAGTTTCTTCTTCTTCTTTTTTTTCTGTCTAACGTTCATTCCTTCTTTTTTTTTCTTTCTTCTATCTCTTTCATTTTTTTTACTTTTCCTTTGTTCTGTTCTTTTTCTCTCCCTGTGTTTTTTTTTTTTTCATCGAACACCGGCTGTGAATTCCAGTGGAAGGTCCCGGTTAATCATCCGCTTGGACTTTTGGCTTTCACCTGGACCTGATTTTTGCGTGTACAACCGTTTTTCATTTCCCTGCCTCATGGGTAGCTGTACGCCGACTTCGAAGGAAGACGTCAGGCCTATTTCTAGGGTGACTGTGGCCATTTTTTTTGTGTGGGTCGAGACGTTGCCTGATTTGTGTGGTGTCCACTTTGTCTCCTTCGCCGCAGGTATTGCCCCCGGAGTACCCCTTTGGGGCAGCCCCCTGTGGAACAGTTGGCCCTCAAGGGAAGGCAGGGGCAGATCATGGGCATTCCCCGCCATCCAAGGAGGCTTCCATGCATGCAGAGCCGGCACATGGCGCTCTGGTTCTGGGCTCACCCAAGGAATCGTCACGTCCTGCACATGCCTGCTTAACCTCACAACCGTATCAGGCCTCCCGCTCGACAGGGGCTGCGCCCGCTGGAAGTCGGCGGGGGGCAGCCCGTGGGTTTTGGACTTTTGTGACCACACAGATAAGTACATTTTTTTCTTTTTTTTTTTTCTTCGCACGATGGATTTCTTTGAAGAGCCGTTAGCCCGACAGAATTTTACATCCTGAATCAGGCATATCGTTATCAGTTTTGTCCCAACACTCAAGCGAGTGGGGTCTTTGGGTGTGGACATTCGGTCTTTTTCAGTTCAGTGCAAATTTTGATGGTCAGATTTTGATCCGTATGATCTAGTTTTGTCGGACATTTAGGCTTGGCCATCCGATGGATGGTTGCTGTTGTGGTGTACCAAAGCGCGGTGACGACGACACTGAGGGTTAACCGAGGATGTACGTGAATGGCCAGCCTATGGATGGTTGCTGTTGTGGTGTATCTCAGCGCGGTGACGACGACACTGAGGGTTAACCGAGGATGTGCAGTGAACAATGTTCTCTGTACTCAGCAGTCTTTTAACCAAGGGTTGTAATTTTGGCTGTACGTTTGGCAAATCTACTCATGTTCCTAATGAGTTTTGATAGCATTTTTCACCCAAGCGTTTGGGGGCGGGCTGATGAGAGCCACAAGGACACATCACCTCTGGGGGCCGCCAAACTCCGAGATCCCCTGACAGCTCTGTTAATGCTCATTTGAGACATTATCCGTGGCGCACGACGAGGACGTGCTGTAGGGGTCTTGCGTGAGGTTCCGTACAACCAGGATAGTGAAGGACTGGCGCCCGAGTGACGTACGGAGTATCTCCTTATACACATCATGTTGGACTTAACTTCCCCTCACGCCTGTGATATAGATCACCGCGACACTCTCCCTGTGTTTATTTTATTTTCTTTTTGCTTTTTTTTTTTCTTGATTTCTCTGATCTACTTTCCTTCTCTCTTCATTTCTACTGTGCCTCATTGTTTCTTTTTTTTGTATGTTTGACGTTTTTTTTTTCATCTTTCTTTTTTTTTTTCCAAAAATTTTTCTTTGCTTTTAATCCT